TAGCAGTAGTTCAGAAAAGCCCGGATGAAAATTTACAAAAATAACAAAGATATCTAGAAAATTTGAAAAAAATTATCAGAAAAAAACACAAAAAAGAAGAATAATAATAAATAACACAAAAATACAAATTAAAAACATTCCTCTTTAGTATAAAAATAAATTCTCATTAATATTTTTTCCTTTCTTTAAAGGCGAAATTTGTGAAACTTTTTGAATCCAACATCTCCTCTACATTCAAATCGAACCTTTTTTACATTTCAAGATGTTTATTCTTAGATACAATTCTTAGATACAGAATTCATAACTTTTTCAAATAAAATATTTGTAACCTTTGTTATCATATTAATAATAATAATTATTAATGTTATTATTATTATTATTATTATTATTATTATTATTATTATTATTATTAATATATTTATCCATATACCTATTTATAACCTCCAAAAAAGCAATTAAATTACTACATTTAAATGTATTTCCAGGTTGAGTCTTAATGACATTTCACGCAACCACCTCGTTGAACTGATACCAACAACAGCAACAACAGCAACAACAGCAACAACAGCAGCAGCAACAGCAACAGTAGCAGCAACAACAACAGCAACAACAACAGCACTGGGAATTTCAACAAGACTGCCAATGCATAACACAGGATCAGCAACATTCAATCAACTTCATTCAACATCATCAACATTAGAAAAACGTCAACAACAAACAATACTACATTACTTTCATAAAATTTCCCAACACAACTACACTACACACAACAACGTCAACATCCACTACAACAACAAACACAAGATCCAAAAACGACAAAACCGCAACAACAACAATGATAATGTTAATCCAAAACCGCCTACTTCAGATAATCAAAACCCAATTGACCAAGTAGATGGCTAACAACAAAACAACAACAACAACAACGCAACGACAAAATACAACCTAACAACAACAAAAACAAAGACGACGACGATGACGATGATGACGAAAGCAGATTTGTGCACAAGCAAGTTGTACAAGTTGTTTGCGTACAACGCAGGCATCCGCGTGTACGTCTGTATGCAGTGCCTTGTTTTATTGGCTGGTCAACAACACGATGGTATGTTGCTATGTGCACTGTACTGTGTATATATAAATGTACGTGTTTATATGTGTGTGTGTGTGTGTGTGTGTTTGTATATATGTGTGTGTGCCTGTGTGTGTGTGTGCGTACGTGTGCCTGTGAGTGTATGTGTGTGTGTGTGTGTGTGTGTGTTTGTGTATGTGTATGCGTGTGTGTGTATTCGATGCCCTTTCTCAACTATATAATTTGTATTATGAATTAATGTAAGTATCTTGTGTTGCATTTTGTTATTTTGTATGTGTTGTGTATTAAAAGTTAACTATTTCATGGTAGGTATTGAGTGTTGTATTTTTTGTGAATGCATATTTTGCTTGTTGTATTATATGCCGGGGTATTTTATTCCGGGCAGTTTTTGCATTTTGCAATAGGTAATGTGAAGTTTTTTTCAATGTCGTAAGTTGTTTCATCATCTTAATCATCATCGTCCTCATCGACATCATTTTCATCGTCACCATATAATCATGTTCATCACCAAATTATCACCATCGTCATCATCATCACCCTCATCTTCATCATCATCGTCGTCATCATCATCACCGTCATCTTCATCATTGTCATCTTCATCATTGTCATCTTCATCATCGTCATCATCATCACCATCATCTTCATCATCATCGTCGTCATCATTATCCTCATCGCTTATCTCATTTATGATAATAATCTGCCTAATCTGAGATCATCTTCACGCCATATTATATCTGTTATCAACGTCCTTTTAATAATCTTTGTTATTATTATTTCTGATGTCATTAATTTTAAAATAATAATTTTTATTATTTCATAATAATAATAATTTTTATTATTTCATAATAATAATAATTATTATTATTATTATGAAATAATAATAATAATAATAGATACATTGTCGTCATAATAATAATGATTGTTACGATCATATTAAATGAATAAAGAATTTTTTCCGATAAAAAATATTTTATTGCCTCTATATAAATTAATTTTCAATTTCTCTCTCTCTCTCTCTCTCTCTCTCTCTCTCTCTCTCTCTTTCTTTCTTTCTTTCTATCTCTCTCTTTTTTATTATTTATGTGTTTTTTATGTGTTAATTATAGGAAATTCAATGTTGTCTCGTACCAATCTTGGCGTTTTTCATATTTTCATTCTCACAAATGGACGGTGTGATGGTGTAGCGATTAAGTGCCCGGCGATGTTACTGCAGTGACTGGATTCGATTGCGTTGAGATCCCAGCCTGTCACATGCACTGTGTGTGTCGGTGTGTGTGTCATGTGTGTGTGTGTGTGTGCGTGTGTGAGTGTGTGTGTGCGTGTGCGGTGAGTTTGCTTCACGAAAAAATTGTAGTGAATAAAAAAATACCAAAATTAATGAAACGTAAATTTTTGTAACTTCAGAAAAAACATTTTATATTTTGTTCCTTGATAAGTCTATCCATATTGTTAAAATTATACGTAATTCAGTAAATATAATAAGCCATCAATAGCACAAAATTAATACTATTGGAAAATGAATATTAACATCTAGACTGGAGAGAGTGCAGGCTCGGCAGTAACTGCAGCGGCTGCAGTAGATACAGAGGTGGCGGGAGTCAACGTACGTAAGTAGATATTGCTTTCTCGTAATTCATAATGTCCTTGACATCTGTCTCGCATAAATACACAATCTTCGTCCTCTGAATACTTTCTCACAATTTATGGATTTGTTTGTTTATTAAGTAGGAAGTAGTCGCTGGTTTATTTCATGTGTACATACCACGTATCATGTATTGTGTACTCTTAGCTATCTCACTGTTGTATGTACGTTTTTATGTACTTCAAATATGTTTGATATATGAAAGCCACACAATGTAAGTCTGTACGATATATGAGAGTGTATTTTTAATCGCACGGTGAACATGCTTAATATATGCAAGTCTTTGTGCACGTGTGTGCAAACCTTCCATCTAAACTAAACTTCCATCGATATATACAGAGTTCTGTCTTTGAGAAAAGGTTAAAGGCCAATCTCTTTTGTGCACTTGCCTCGGAGGTTTCAATGACAAACACACACACATACACCCACATACACATACACACACACATACACCCACATACACATACACACATACACCCACACACATACATACACACACACAGCGTACATAAGTGAATACGCGTGAAAACCACGCATCATACACTTTGCATATGACAGGTGGGAATCTCCTTGTAATCGAATCCAGTTACTGCAATGCAACAGCAGGACCAGGCGCCTTTAACCATTACGCCATCACGTATAATTTCGATATATGAAAGTCTTCGCATATGCATATATTCGATTTATGCAAATACTAGCTGAAATGTGGGTTATTACGAAATATGAGAGTTCTCTTGTGTTCAGTGTACATGTAAATGAGTGTCTTCATCATATGAGAATTGATTTAAATGCATTTCTTCGATATATGCGAGTCTCTGTTGTAAATGTACTTGGATATAAGCGAGTCTGAGTGAACATTATGGATGTCTTCTTTATAATCATCAAAGGAGTTTATGAGTTCGTGAATACTCTTACGACGAGTTTGATGTTTCTACTTCTCTTTTGTCTCGATGGAATGTTAGCAAATTATTTCCTTGCTTTCATCTTTTTCTCTGGGTTTTTAAATTTTTTATTTTTACTGACACTACCCAACTGTGGCCAGTAGATGAAAAATAATACTGTATATCGAGAATTTTTTTGAAAAAAGTTGGTAATTTTGGTTCCAAAATTACCAAAGAAAAAAGAATTTTAATAAAAAGAGAAAAGATTTGAAGTGAAAAAACAGAACATTAATATCTCAAAAAGCTGGTTGATGACGCAGTTGCCATGGTCACTCACTCACTCACTCACTCATTCATTCAATCATTCACTCACTCATTCACTCACTCACTCATTCACTCATCATTCAATCAACATTTCGGAGTCACTTTTAAATATTATTTTTCGCAAATGGGGAATTAAATGAATTTAAGACAATGAAAAAATAAAATGTAAACCTCCAGTGATGGTATGTGTTGAAGTTTTTTCAGAATTTTATGATTTTCAACAATATTTTTTACATTGCTGAATGTGATTGTTGGCTTTTTAGTAGCAGTATCATTTAAAGGTAACTTGACCTAACTGCTGGTAGTACCACAATAATTGTTTTCAAGTAAAAAAAATTTTAAATGCATTGTTAAACAGTACACACTTGATTAAGATCTTTGGAACGTTCTCCAAGTGAATAATTTATTTTAAGTTTATTTTCACAGTTAAATTTGTTGCTGACCCAGTTTTTGCTACTACAATCTGATCCGGCGGATCAGATTGTAGTAGCAAAAAATTTTCATCGGATAATTGTATTAACTCGCTAAAACATTTTTTTTGTAGAATTAAATTTAATTCTGCCATCCCAATCCAGTAACGCCACACGCGAGCAGGATGGAGCCGATGCAGCGACTGTCGCAGCAACAGCACTCCCACACTTTTACCAGTCTAACGAACGACAATAACAATTTTTACGTTAACCTGAAAAATGACAATAATTACTATCTAGACAGAAATGACGTTAATGAAAACAACAACAACAACAGAAATAGCATCAACAACAAAATCTCTAAAAATAAGAATATCAGAAACGATAATTTTTATAAAAACCACAACAGAAACAACGACAACAACAACAACCATAGAAACAACAACCATAGAAACAACAACAACAACAACCTCGACTACCAAAACAACGACCAGCGTTTGGCCTCACAGCAAACCAACTCGAACGTAAAACACAAAAGCAAAACTAAGCATAAACAAACGAACAACAACTACTACATCAGCAAAGTAAACAACAACGACAACGACAACGCCGACGACAGCAACAATGCACTAAACACAGACACGCAAGTTTTCGCCAAACAGAACGTAACATCGCATCAAGGTGACCGTGCGATGTTAACCTGCATAGTAAGCAACCTTGGCACCAAATCGGTTAAGTTTCTGTGTTTTGCTTTTATTAATTAATTTTGGCAAATTAACTTTTAAAAATCATTTTTATTGATTTTTTTTAATTATGTGTATATTACAATAAAATAATTTTTATATAAAAATAGAAATTTGAATCATATTTGTACACGGCATATACATGAATTTTATAATCGTTTATCCCTCCTACCCATTTTTTTTCATTTTCGCGTATACATGTTAGCGTGTGTACCTGCTTGCACATGTTTGGTCATGTACGTACATTATGGTTATGTAAATTAATTATGGTTATGTATGTACATTACAAACACATACACACTCATACACAAATACATTCTAACCCAACACAGACACACACACCACATACACAGAGACACACAGGCACACACAGAGACACACACAGAGACACACACAGATACACACATACAGACAGACCACAACGTGTTGACATACTGTCACTACTCACTCTTCTATATTAATTGTTTTGTTTATCTGTAACTTTTTTAAACGGACGTCTCCCACAAATATATTACTTCACGTTCTTTCTCTGATGCGGCAGACATCCATCTGAGCCGCATGAACCACGCCTTACTTCTGCAGTGCAGCGGTCGGCAACCGCACGACACACTCCACTGGCAATTAAATGCATACTCCCATGCAGTTGGAATGGAAATAAAATAGAAAAAATAATTTGTCTACTCTTCTGGTGAAATATTTAAAACAAAATGTTTGAATAACGTACCCACTTTTAAAATTGAACAACTCTTATAAATAAATGCACCCTCATTACTTCATTACTACTACTCAAATGATGAATAAATTTATTCATCAAAAATTTAAGAACATTCTCCTCAGAGGCATGCAATCAATAAATTTTTTTATTATTAAAATTCTACCTTCCATGAAAAGCGAATTTAATTTGTCTAAGATTTTTTTTGCCGTCTTTTTTCAATTTGAAAGGATTTGAAAATTTGTTTTATTTTTTTTTTTTTATTTGAATGAAATTTCCTGATGAAGTTGAGTTTGAGTGCTTCATTTAAAGAAATTATACGTAACTGTCTTTTAAACGCTTTTTGAATCTGAAAACCATTTTAAATATTTTTGTCAGTGAAAAACCTTTTTGTATTCAGTAAAAATAACAGCTGAAAAAAATATTTGTTAGCATTTTTTGTTTTCAATCAGAGCCGTATTTAAAATTTGACAGAAATAACAAAAGTCTAGAGTATCAAATTTTCAATGGTAAAAAATTTTTGAATTTAAAAAGTTAGCTAGCATAATAAAATATCGGCAATTCAAAATTACATTAAACCAAACGACGTCTGGCCGCCTGCATGGTTCTTGCCTAGTATCCATGGCGCTAATGAGATTGTACGCTATCTAAACAGGGTTAGGAACTAGATTAGGTTGGGAATTATAGAAAATGTTTTTTTTTTTTTTTAATTGATGTTTTAATTTTCATCCAAAACTGGTGAGCCATGACGACAACTCTACTTGAAGTATTTTTCAAATTGTGATGTGAATCGAGCAGATGAGTGGCGGTAATGTGATTGCGTTCGTGTTTGTTACCAGATGACAACGTTCGAAATTCATGTCGAAATTTCTGGCCAACTTTAAATCTGCTGTTTACTTTAACGTAATGTTGCATACTGAAAACATTTATATGTTAGACAATTTAGAGACGCAGAAAATAAAGAAGAATCGGTATTATTATTATATTATTATTAATAATAATAATTATTATTATTATTATTAACAACATAAAAATCAATTTTTAAAAAATGTTACTAACATTTTTATGAAATTTTTTAAAAAAATATTCGATCATGAATAAAACATGCCGACGTAACGAGCAAGTGCATTTACATTTTTCGTCATTTCGTATTTCATCACATTACACTATATGCTATGATATCATGTGATATCCAACTTTTATATTTTGCATTCTACGCCTTGATCGTCATTTTCCAGATTGATTCTGGCAGATGTGGCTTTGTTAGTGCGTGTGTTTTTACCTTAGCAGTATTGTGAGTATCAACTTTCTGTTTGAGACTTGCCAGCAAGTTTTAAATCATTATTTCAAAAGTAGAAATGACTTTTATAGCAGCATGAGAAAAATTATTATTAAATGATATTGTTATCATTATTTGTTAATAGCATAACGAAATAACTAACTGCCCGATTTACTTAATTAGCCTAATTATCTTTATACATGACTAATTACTGTTAATAATTGTCTTGTTATGGTTTTAAATGGCAAACAACTCAAAAAACAACAAAGAACTGACAATATTGAACCAAAAATACTGAAAAGTATTTATTTCTCATTTCCGTCCAATAAACGCAGAAATGTACATACAGAATTATTCTCGCCCTGACAACACTGTGAAATAATTCAAATTAAATTAAAATGGCTGGTGGGATGGTATAGTGGTATAGAGCTTGGCGGCATTCCTATTGCAGTGGACTTGATTCGATTGCAAAGAAATCCCCGAATATCACATGCAATAATTGCACTTCTGACAGTCCTAATCAAATATCTTTAACCTTTAATCAAATATTTGTAATGATATATACATATATGTTTATCAGATATTTAATAAGCAAAATTTTATAACGAAACTATTGTAAAAAAAAATAACCTAGGCCCGTGTGGGAGTGAAACAAATGAATGCTTGTAGACAAGTCGGATAATATCTCTGTGTATTCAATCATTCTGTGTATCTTTAGCGTTGTAGTGAATAGTATTGAGTGAAAAATTCACGGTTGGATGGATACAAAACAAATGTTTCGTATGCGTTTGTTTGTGTGTTTTTTGTATGTGTATAAGTCAGTGTGTGTAATGTATGTGTGTATGTTTATGTATGTGTGTATGTACGCATACACACGCATACACATATGCGTGTGTGTGTTCGTTTGTCTGTCTGAATGTTTGTTTGTGTGAGTATGTATGTGATACTCTAATACTAGAAACAACCTAAACTACAAAACACAGACGTTTGTGATTCTGTGGTGTAGTGTGGCTTGGTGGAGTTTGGTGGGATGTGGCTTGGAGTGGTGTAGTGTTGTGTGGCCTAGATGTGGCTCGATGTAGTGCAGTGTGGATGTGGCATGGTGTGGTGTGTGTGGATGTGGCTTAGTATAGCGCAGACGACGTGTGGCAATGACGTTGGCTCCTAAAGAGATATGGCTCGCTTGAGTGACTCACGCGCAGTGAGGCATGTGACGTCTTCCATACGTCAATGTCACCATTAATGTTATTCTTCTTCTGCTCTTGTTCATATTTACTCTATTTACTATTGCATTGTGTTACTGCATTAATGTAAATATAATGAAAAGTAACGGGTGTTAGGTGAAATAACAATAATATCTATTATTATTATTATTATTATTATTATTATTATTATTATTATTATTATTATTATTCAACACTTTTGAAATTTCGCCAATAGGACTTTATAATTCTTTCAATTTATCTCAAACTAAAATAAACTGGCGTGACGATTTTAGATCTAGCTTAATTAATCAATTCTGCGATAGCATCTACTTACGCAATATATTGTGACAGAAATAAAGCTTGACTCTAGTTTTTATATTATTTTATCATCCTTGTACACATTCATAATGACGAGCATTGATGTTAAATTATCCATTATTTTAATCTTTTAACTATTATAATAATTGATCATTTTATATTTAATTGTAATTTCTTTTTTTTACTTATATTTTGGCTTATGAAGAAATAAAAGAGTTCTCATTATTATTACTACTACTACTACTACTACTACTACTACTACTACTACTACTACTACTACTACTACTACTACTACTACTAATGTTTTTTCCATTATAATAAAATTAACATTACATTAACATAACATTAGCATAACACTAACATAACATTAACATAAAATTAAATGAAATAACATTTCGCAACAGGTATCATGGAAGAGGCAGGGCGATTCTCATCCATTAACGATCGGTTGGTGTCATACATAAATATATTTGATATACGTATATCATAATAATAATAATAATAATAATAATAATAATAATAATAAAAGTTTTAAATAGTATAATTTCATTGTTGTCACAATTGAGAGAGAAATAACATCAACAACACATCACCAGTTGACCTGGAGGACAAACAATTTTTTAAATGTTGAAATTTTTAAATTTGACGGGCCAAGAAACAAATTTGTTCCAGTTTGGTGTCAAAGGTCACTGACAACACCAACGACGAAACCATCACCAGGTAACTCAGCGTTTGTGTCAGACTCTCGCCTGAGTGTGAACTTCAACCAGGTGAGCGACGAGTGGTCGCTCATCATACAGGACATCAAGTTGGCCGACGAAGGCGTCTACGTCTGCCTGGTCACCACAAAAGATCTTAAGTACAATGCCTCCGCTACAGTTTGGCTCAACGTTAAGAGTTAGTAATTTAATCTGTGTGTGGGTTTGTGTGTGTGTGTGTGTTTGTGTGGTGTGTGTGTGTGTGCGTGCGTGCCTGAGTAGATTTTATATTTGAATTATATTTCGGCAAATTTTTTTAAAAGTTTTTTCAGTTTTTTATGGAATTAATTTGGCATTTTTAGTTGATTTTTAATTTTTTTATTTCAACTTCTTTCTCAAATTCCTTCTCCGTCATTAACTCAAAAAGTACATTGCTGCGAAGTTGCAGTGCATCATTCGCGCCAAGTTCCACCTCGCACGACCAACTCAACATCGGCGTTAATTAATCCATCACTAAGGACGAACGTCTTAATCAATCAGTGATCAAACCATTACAAATTGTCAACCAATCGCTATCAACCAGCCAACCATCAGCGAACCACAATCAACCAATGGAAATCATTCACTCAATCTCAAAAAATCAATCGCTGCCAACTAATTCATAATGGCCAACTATTCACAGCCAACTAATTCAAAATAGCCAACCAATCACAACCAACTAATTCAAAATGGCCAACCAATCACAACCAACTAATTCAAAATGGCCAACCAATCACAACCAATTAATTCAAAATGTCCAACCAATCACGACCATCCAACCAAACCAGCCATTCAGATTTCAGGAACGACGTACGTGGAGGTGGGGCAAACCATCAATTTATCCTGCAACGTCACGGGTAGGCCCCTCCCACCGCACCACGTCACGTGGTACAAAGATGACGAGGTCATTATTTTTGACCCGCGACAGTCAAAGGTCAAGGTGAATCAGACTTTGTTTCAGAACAACTACGTGAGTAGGCTGGAGATTACGAGGGTGGTCTCGATAGATACAGCCTGGTACACGTGTAGGTCGTCCAACGATGATTCAGACAGCATTCATGTCCAGGTATTGAATGGTAGGTTCTTCCTCTTTCACTCTTGTAAAAATTAACCTGTATCAATCAATCATTCAATCAATCAATCAATCAATTGATCGATCAATCAATCAATCAACCAATCATCAATCATCGGTCAAACATTATTTATATAACGATTTCTCCGAAACGTAAGCACACTTACAATTAATAAATTAATGAGCATTTCAATGAGAGTATTGAAATTAGTTTTAGTTTTTTTTGCCTTCCAATGTTTTCCCGCCATTTTTGGTTGACATAAACGAAAGTGAAACTAATTTTAAAAAAGACACTAAATAGCTGAACGTAGGGAATGAAATTTATTGCGGCAAGAATTTGTTCGCGGTGTTATTTGTTTCACGGAGCTAATTTGCTCTGCACCGAAGGGAATGCATGTTACGTGGGTTGTTTGTATGTAGATGAGTGGGTGGGACTGTTGTTGGTGATACCATTGATGTTGTTGGTGTCGATGTTGTTGTTGCTGTTGTTGTGATTGGTGTTGTTGCTGTTCTCGATGTTGTTGTTGATGTTGGGGTTTTTGTTGTTGTTGATGTTGTTGCTGTTATTGTTATTGTTGTTGCTGTTATTGTTGACGATGTTGATGTTATTGTTGTTGATGTTGATGTTATTGTTGTTGATGTGGTAGACAGCAGTAATTAGTCATTCTGGCCAAGTTAATTACGACGCTAAATGATCTGTTGTACTCTAAGACGAAGATTACGAACAGAGTAGAGGCATATGCAGATTAGTGATAAGAGAAACAAAGGGGGCAGTTGAAACTCTTCAATTAATCATTCGTTTCAACATTGCCACATTATTTAACTATTTAGTTATTCAACTAACTATATATTAAACTACTTATTCAACTAACTATATATTAAACAAACATATTTTTTACAAACTAAACTAACTATATATTAAACAAACTTATTTAAACAAACAAATTTATTTAAGTAGTTATTCAATTAACAATATATTTAACTATATATTTAACTATTTATTTAACTAGTTTTTGCTACTAATATTCTCTTCTTTGTATAGATATAGAACAACAGTTATTCTATTCTATTCTTCTAGAATTTCAAAATGCAACTAAAGATTTTTTTGGTGTGGATTGTATTGATATGAAAGTGATGCTCTTGCCTTTTATATAACCCATTTATGTTATGTTATGTTATAATTGCGATTATAACATATGGTGATGAAATTCTTAAGTACTAACCATGTAAATCATCGTGGCAATCACAGTTTCAAGGCATTAACTAGGCTTAATATAACTTTTAATATTTGTATACGCTGTAACATAATAATAAATGAATGAATGAACGAACGAACGAACGAATGAATGAACGAACGAACGAACGAACGAATAAATAAAATTATAAATTAATTAATATATTTATTAACAAATTTAACAATCTTTTTCCAGATTTTTTAAGTTCAAGAAGTCATAAGCAACATGAAGGTTAGAATGGATGATAATGTGATTAAGTATTTATGCCACCCATCATTTTTATCATCATCATTATCATTTTCTTTTTCATTTTCTTCTTTTTTTTCTTCTTCTTCTTCTTCATTAACTTCATGATAATCACATTGATTATCATCAACATAATTGTTATCATCATCCTACTTAGCATAGATTAAACTTCCATCGCCATCTTCATCGCAAGTTCAATTTTTAAATCTGGCTTTGAATGTGATTGAACCCTGTTGTTGTAGTTGTGTTTTTCCTTTCGACTTTTCTTTTGTTTTGTGTTGCTTGAGTTGTTGTTTATTATTATTACAACTAATATTAATAAGTTTAAGTTGTAGTAGTAGAAGTAGTAGTAGTAGAAGTAGTATTAGTAGTAGTAGAAATAGTATAGTAGCTGTAGAAGTACTAGCAGTAGTAGTAGTAGTAGTAGTAGTAGTAGTAGTAGTAGTAGTAGTAGTAGTAGTACTAGCAGCAGAAACGTTGTAGTAGTAGTTGTAGTAGTAGTAGTAAGTAGACTAGTAACAACAGTAGTAGCAGCAGCAGCAGCAGTAGCAGCAGTAGTAGTAGCAGTAAAATATTCCCGCCACACAGATCCCTTACAAGATCCACCCGGGATATCGAGCCACATTTTTCCATCATCATCATCATCACTGGCTAGATCGATATCATCATCGTCGTCGTCTTCATCGCACTCATTTTCGTCCTCGTCGTCGTCATCAGTGTCCTTGTTTCTGACGCATTTTGTGTGGTTTCATTTATCCTTAACGTTATGATGAATCTGTGAAGATGTGAATTTGAAGATGTGTTGTTTTTAATTTAGTCTGTCTGTCTGTCTGTCTGTCTGTCTGTCTGTCTGTCTGTCTGTCAGTTCATTTCTTTATTCATTTGTCTGTCTGTTTGTCTGTCCGTCTGTCTGTCTGTTCATTTCACATTGGTCTGCGTGTCTTTGTCTGTCTGTATGTTTATCTGTTTGTCAGCATCTATGTCTGTCCTTTTATCTATCTGCATGTTTGTCAGTTTTTCGCCGTACAGAACATTAAATAATATCTCCAAAAACCCCACACTTAAATGTCTGTTATTTAAAATTTACTCTTCAGCACGGCCCTCAAAACTTCATCACACAATCACATCTTCCTTCATTTACAATTGCCATAGTTCATAAGAGTTCATGAAAGCACAACACAAATTCTCGAACGTGGATAATCGCCATGTTAAGTACTGTATGTTTCACAATTGAATGGAAGGAAAGGGTTTTATTACCACTGCCATCATTATTTGTATCATTGTATCATTGTATTGGTTATGATACTGGCTATAGCCAGTATCATAACCAATACAATTATCATCACAATTTACTTATTATTAATATATAATTATATTGCACCATAATGTTTAGCGTTGATAATAAAATAAAAAATGTTTGATTGACACGAAATCAAAGTTTCTAATGAGATAGTTTACGCTCCAACCATCATCTACATTATTATTACCATTCACATCTTTACCATCTTCATCATCTTTATCATCATTCTCATCACCATCTTCTTCTTCTTCAGCATCCTCATAAGCATCAACGTCACTGTTAACAATGCTTTTTTAAGATTTCCATATAAACGAGATACATCGTATGTGTGGTATTGTTTTTTTTGTGTTTGTTTCATTCCACATAAAAATGGTAATGTATATGTGTGTGTGGGTAAGATTGTGTGCGTGCATGTGCGTGTGTGTGCGCGTGTGTGTGTGCGCGAGTGTGTGTTTGCATTTATTGATTCATTAAATGGCACAATTGATCTAATGCGACGGTTTTGATTGTAGATGGAAAAGCCTATTTCTGCTGCATATGGCATGTCGAAAAACATTTTTTGTTACGAAGCTTTTTTGATGGTATAGTATTTATTTATTAATTTTGTGTGTGTGTGTGTGTGTGTGTGTGTGTGTGTGTGTGTGTGTGTGTGTGTGTGTGTGTGTGTGTGTGTGTGTGTTTGCTACCGTGTTTTATATTTTTGCTTTCAAATATTTTTTTGGAAATTTTTTTAAATGTATTTAAATGTTTTTTCTTCATAATCATGATTATGTTCGTTTGATTTTAATTTGATAAAAATGTTAAAAGACATGTCTGCTTATAAATATGGCTTGAAAATCTGGTGTCATCTTAATAAGATGTTGTTTTCGATAATAGTTTTATTATTTCGTGTTTAAATTTTTTTGAATGTAAAAATATGGTTTCGAAACCTAAGAAGGTGTTAATTAAATAACTTACCTTCGATAAAATTTTATTAAATAAAACAAATCTTCAATGAAATATTCTCCGTGCTATATTTCTCTAACCTACACCACATAATCTTTAAATTAAGTTCAAATTCTCGTCAAAAAACGAATTATTAAACATCTTTCAAAAAGATGATGACAATATTTTTGAACGGAATAAATTGCTATATCCTTAGGAATAAAATCAGAGTAACTCGTGAGTTCCGTTACATTCCACCTAGGTCCAGAGGGATCAACAAGATACAGACGTAATACATGAATACATGTTAAACGACGCATCTCATACGAAGCACGCGATAAGGGGATCTTTTTGTCGTACTCGAACCCGGTTACCTCACGCACTGCGAAGCATCAGCAGGCGACTCTAACCAGTAAGCCATCACGCCATCCAGAACTACTGTAATTAATAATTTACAGGAAAAAAGTCGTTAATCGGTCAGACATTGGTAATACAGTGGTACTCCCTATTAACGATTTTGAAAATGTCATAGAAATCAGGTCTTAAATGGAAAGGAAGCATATATAGAGAGTGACGCTTAATGTGAAAACAATCCGTCAGAAACAAAATGGTCGGTAGTGGGAGAGAGTCGTATGTTGCGAGGTTGTTGGGGAGGAGTATTACTGCATACACTTGCATACATGTTCACGTTTTGACAAATAATTGTACAGCGTTTAAGCGCGTGCACACATGTGTATATGTGAGTGCACATATAGATACATACTTAAATAGAAATACATTCAAATTTGTGTGGCAAAAATCTAGAGGAACGCCTAGAGAAAAGTATACTAAATTTGCTGAAACATTATGCAAATGCATAAAATTAATCAATTAAAAAATAATCAAAAAGGAATAAAAAAAAATTAAAAATGAACAAATATTTATTTATTAATAAACTAAAAACAAAAAAATTGTAAAATTTGATGAGTTTGATGAATACTTAAGAATATTTTTATGGATACTTAAGAATGAGACCAAACTCTAAAGAGCACTAAAACTATTCCATATGACGTACCGTATTTTAACAATTTTAAAAGTTTCGGTTTCGGTCGAAAGAAAAAAATCCCACATTCCAATTGCAACCAGACACTACTTTTAAAATGATAGGCCAAGAGTAAACTTATGTACACATTTAAACGTTGAGTCGCTATTATATATAAAAAAAAAGTAAATAATTGAAGAAATAATTAAAGTATTCATCCATTTTATCTTTTGAAATCATAAAATCTACAAGAATGAATCGCAAGACGAGCATCTTGGAG